GACGCTCGGGTGAGGGCGTGCAGCTGGGGTCTTTGAGACCTTTTTATTATGCAATTATATTTAAGGGGAAAATCACCAGGGCTGCGGTAAATCAACCTCCCTCTTGTCAATTTTAGGATACCCAGACAGAATATTTATTACAGTCTATTTATATTTTAAACGTAAGATGTTCATACAAGGACTGGATTTTCTGGAGTAGAGGTATTACAAAGGGAAAGAAATTTATGGTTGTCTGGTGATTGTGATCAACTGTCAACTAGCCGCCGATTCATTCAAGTATTTCAGAGTTTACAAAAAAAAAAAAAAAAAGTCACCGAACATTTTGATTTTTAATTCCTTTTGTATTACAACGTTCTTCTGACGCTAAGTGAACACTTGCATCCAACCATAAGGTTGGCTGCAAACACAACTACTTGATACTTGTTTTCCCAAATATTCTTGCGGCAATAAATCTACTTTGGTGGCCGATCATGAATACTGCTTAAAGAGGATTAATAAATAAATGGTTGACTAGGAAATCACTCTATCCTATTTAATTCGCGTGATTTACTGATAGCATGCCATGGATTGAACAGAAAATGCTTATTGATTGCAATAATACGTTAAATAGACAGGTGTACAAAATAATTCTTCCGGCAGCATCGCGTGATTTACCGATTGCGTGTCATGAGTTGCACCGCAATATTTATTCGAGGAGCGGCGAAGGAAACAGAAAATTGAATAAAGCAAGAACCAAATATAACCAAGAAATATGAGGAAAGGTCAACTGGTTTCCATCTTTCGTTCAACGAAGTCGAGTTTCAAGGATAATTTAGAGTCTGCTTAGTTCTAGTGTTTCTGCTTTCATTGTTGAGTGAATCCACTTCTACTGTCATCACACATATAACTCGTTCCGATTTTAGACCCGAAATGGGAAATTCCGTTTCATTGTTTCTTTTTTTTTTTTCAGGCTGATTTTCTCTGATGCCGGGTGTCTTTTGATTATCTGCCAGGTAAGACATGCAATGAATAAACGGAGATTGTGCAGACACAGCGTTAACGTAATAGTCCAAAATATAATAAAGTTCACATGGCAACCAGGTGGATAACCGCACATTGTTTGACGCTACTCTGGTTTAAAGATTAAATGAATGTAACCGAGAAGTTACAATTCATAGACCCAACGTCTCGACACTCCTGTCTAGTGCCTTCATCAGGGGTGATCTAAACACTGCAACAAGAGTTCCTTTTATACGCTCACTAATTAGCTGCCCTTTTTTCTAACGGGGTGTTAATAGGCGTCAGGAAGTAAGCTGCAATCATCACGATTTAAAGGAGCGTGGGCGGAGTTGATTTGCCAGGCTTCCAGACAAAGGCGCTGGTAGTAGTGCCGATTAGTGGTGATAATTTTAGACTTATCCCATCCAATTATATGGTTGGTTAGGCACGTGTGCTCCGACAAAGAGTTCTATAGATGTATTTCACTTATTCCATTTTCTCAACTCCTAGCTGTCACAATTGTATGTGAAACATTCCAATCAACTGAGTGATCGAAACTACAATAGATATTGGAGATTAAAAAAAATTAATATATTAATACTACTTCCAGTTACTATTAATAACCACACGCCGAATGTCGTTAATAAATTGTCAAACGTTTGTGCGCGAACACAACTTCTGCAACTAGATGAAACAGAACTCAGAACACAAAATGAGCAAATAAACACGCGCAACATCATTACATATTACTCCTCCACCCATGTGACTTCAAATGAATGCCACATTTTTACGACCAAGTGTCCGTTTTCAAGAAGAGATTCTAAAGCCGCAACCTACTTGTTGTGAAATTTGCACTTGGAAAAGGAATATTCCAACAAAACGTAACAAAATCAAAAAAAAATCCTTCGGTTTCCTACTCTAACAAATGACACGCCTTAAATTTTGCCACATCTGATTACGAAAAGGTTAGTTGCGATGGTCCTCTGACTGCACACTTTG